ACAGGGTCTCCCTGCTGTGGGGTTGGCCTGGAACTCACTATGTAGACCAGGCTGGCCTGGAACTCACAGAGATCCACCTACCTCTGCCTCCCCAGTGCTAGGATTAAAGGTGTATACCACCCCTCCTGGCTAAGTATTGGTTACTTTTGCATCATCTGCTGGCCCAGCAGAGGTACAGCTGTGATTGGTACTAAGAGGCAAGGCTATGATTGGTTCCAGCAGGGTCTTGCTATGTTACCTGGGCTGGTCTCAAACTCCTAGGCCTAAGCAATAACCCTGTCTCAGCCTCAAGAGCAACTGGAATTATAGGCACAGAGGACTGCACTGGACTTTTAGTTAGGTACTTTAAAGGAATTTCTGTTCCAGCCCTTGGGGTGATCGCTTACCTTGTATATAATCAGTTTAAGTGTTCTTGAGTGTAGGATGACGACAGTGGTAGAGCTGTGGCTAATGGAGTTAAATTCTGTAAGTTTTCATACTCCAGCAAAAGTGCTCAACTCCAACATCATGAAAAGCATAGTTTGGATCAAACCAATGTCCTGACTATGGGCTGTGGAAGGACTCTTAGTAGACTATGCTTAGAATGCTAGAAACCATGGGTTTTGTTTTCTTAATATTTTATTTATGTGTATGAGTGTATGGCCTGTATGTATGTAAGTGCACCCAGGTGCAATGCCTGAGGAGGTCAGAAGTGGGTGTGTATGAGTGTGGGCACACCTTTGCCATAGCATGCATGTGCCATAGCATGTGTATGGAGGTCAGAGGACAACTTTCAGGAGCTGATTTTCTTTTCTTTTTTAATATTTTTTATTTACTATTATTTTTGTGTGTATGTGTGTATTGCCTGGGTGTAGGTAAGTGCACCCATATCATGCAATGCCTGCGGAGGACAGAAGAGGCTGTCAGATCCCCTGGAACTGGAATTATGGACAGCTGTTAGCTGCCATGTGGTTGCTGGGATTCGAACCCAGGTCTTCTGCAAGAACAACCAGTGTTCTTAACCACTGAGCCATCCAAGGAGCTGATTTTCTATCATGGGTTCCAGGACTGAATTCAGGTTGTCAGGCTTGTGTGGCAAGTACTTTTACCTGCTCAGCCATTTTGCTGGACCCCCTGCATTTCTTCTATACTGACCCAGTTAGAAATTTTATAAATTCAAACTTAGTTTATTTGTGATGTAAATGAATGGTATAATAATTGTAGATGGGGGCTGGAGAGGTGGTTCAGTGGTTAAGAGCATAGGATGCCCTACCAGAGGACCTGGGTTCAATTACCAGCACTCATATGGCGACTAACAACTGTCCATAACTCCACTTCAGGAGAATCCAACGCCCATGGGGTCTCTTCTGACTCCATGGGCATTGCATGACACGGGTGCACTTACACACATGCAGGTATAAAATAAAAATAATAAATAAAATATTAAAAAAATTAAATCATCTATCATCAATCATAGATGGTACTGAATTTCCTACTGACTCATACAAGGGTGCACACAGTGTCCTATTGTACCTCTGAAGAGTCAATCAATTAGTCTGCAGATTCAATCGATAGCACTTTGTACCTTTATGAAGTTCTCCATTGACTTCCCCCCCAATATTAAATATTGTTAATATTTACCTTGATAATGATTCATAGGGTGTTGCCAACGATGGTGTTTTGTACTAATTGTATCATCCCTTTAACATTTACTGGGTAATTCTTTGGTTACTATGAGAAATAACTTTTACAAGAAAAGTAATTTATCAATTTTCATAGTAATGAATAGGTACTGTAATAACCTCCAAGGTGACCAATAAGATGTTTAAAAATTTTTATAACTTTAGGGGCTTGTGGATTTAATGTATGGATTTTATTTCTGTTTTTTGAGACAGGGTCTCCCTGTTGCCCCAGCTTGCCTGGAACTTGTTATGTAGAGCAGGCTGGCCTCAATCTCACAGATTGTGTGTGAGACACACCCTGCTGATGTGTGGATTTTTATAGAGCTGCTATTACAACCTGTCATAACCATCATTATTTTTCCTGATGCTCAAATTCCTTCTGATCACTGCTACTTACCAGAGCCCCTTTAAATTGGCTCTGAGTTCTTTGGACATAATAGATATCAAATGCAGTGGTCCTGAATGGCCTGTTTGCTTTCTGGTATGACAAGAACTCCCAGGTAGGCCCACCTTGTTCCTGTTCCTGTTCCTTGTTTCCTGTTCCAGACTGGACTTTCCCCTTCTCCAAGAAGGATCTAGAATTTTAGAGTTTCTTTTTTTCTTGTTTGGCATTTTAAAAGTGAAAACTCTGGGCCAGTGTGATAGCTCATACTCCAATGCTTGGAGGCTGAGGCAGGAGCATCTGAAGTTTGAGGCCAGGCTGGACTACACAGCAAGACCCCGTGTTAAAACAAAAAAAAGTTGTTTTTAATTCACGAAGTGAGAAATCTCCCTTGTCTCCAGAAGCCCCAGCTCCTGTAGGATAAGGGCATTCCTCATGGTGCAGTGTACAGCCAGCTCTGTTCTGTGTCCTGCTGTACTCTTGCAAATACACTGAGCTATTTGTCATTCTCTGGACAAGCTGTTCTCCCCTGATCTGGGGCTTTGTACACTCTGGTTTTTTCATCTTGAATGACCTCCCCATCCCTCTGACTCTGTGCAAACCTTGTCTCTTGTGACTTTTTCACTTATTCTGGTAGAACTAATGAAAGGCCCTGCTATTTTAGCGAGTTTGTTGCAGAAGTCAAACCATATTGTAAAAGATTTATTAGTCAGTGTCCCTCCCTGAGGGCTGCAAACACATCTGATACATACTTAGTGACCGCTGTGCTTTTCCCATTAGGTTGCTTCCCAAGCTTGTGAACCTTGCTTTCATTTCCTTCTGCTCTAGTCTCTGACTAAACTCTTCACAGAGCCCTCTCTAGTTAATAACTAAAGGATACTTACTGAGCATCTACTATGCCTAGTGTGCTTTATGTGCATGATTTTATTACAATCACTGAAGCAGGTATTATCTTCATTATATAGATGAGCAAAGGGAAACTCATGGGGTGGCTAAAGTTCCCACAGTCAAGGGAGTGAGCAGAGGCTGGATTTCTTTAGATGTGACTCAAACTCCCGAGACTTGTTGTCAATGACCCACCCACACATCAGAAATCCCCAGGTAGCTCATTAAAATGCATGCTCCTGGGCTGGAGAGATGGCTCCATGGTTAAGAGCCCTGGTTGTTTTTGCAGAGGACCCAGGTTCCATTCCCAGAACCAAGAGCAGCTAACAACTGTTCATAATTCCAGTTCAAGGGGAATCCGACACACTCTTCTGACCTCTGTGGGCATTGCATGGCACAAGTGCACTTACATACATGCAGGCAATATACTCATATACATAAAATGAAACTAAATAGAATATTTAAAAATTATTTATTTATGCTGGGCTATATATGGTACAGCCTTTAATTCCAGCACTCAGGAGGCAGAGGCAGGTGGAAGCCAGTGTGGTGTAGCGAGTTCCAGGCCAGCTGGGGATACAGGGAGACTCTGTCTCAAAAAACAACAAAAATTATTTATTTTTATTATGTATGAGTTTTTTGCCTGTATGTAAGTGCACCACATGTGTGCAGTACCCTTGAAGTCCAGAGGAGGGGGTCAGATTCTTTGGAACTGGAGTTATGGTTGGTTGTTAGCCACCATGTTGGTCCTGGGAACTGAAGCTAGGTCCTCTGCAAAAGTGGCCAGTGCTCCTAACTGCTGAACCATCTCTCCAGTCTCCCATGGGATGCTTTTAAAAGGATCTTATATGACTAGGCACGAAGTTAGACATTCACATTTTTGAAAGGGAGCACTTCATCCCAATTCTCAGTTGCTCACGAATCCCATTACCCCCTAGAGATAATCACTTTTCTTGGGGAGACTCAGCCCACTGAAGTCAGAGGGGCCATCATTGTACTTATGGACCGCCCACAACGAATGAAGTGCTCCTGTATTCCCGGTTTAGGGCAAAACCACAGGTAAGACCACCATTGAAGGACAAATGGTCTAGGCAGGGGGCTGTCACCATTAAAGATTGTGGGAACGCTTGCTCAGAATTTGTTTCACCTCCTGACTACAGGGCCTTCCAGTCTCCTTTTGATAGGCCCTGAACAGGCCATCCTGTCATAAGCAAAGATCAGGAACGGATATGTGGATAAGGGGAGTGTGAGGTGTGTGAGGATGACCCAAGCCATAGACTGAAGAGGTGTTCACTGGCAGGGGCTGGGCCCAACACATGACCTCCCCCACTTGTATTTCTGATCATTTGTAGTTACCATTAACGGCTCTCTAGAAAAGTGTACAAAAGCACAGCTACTGCGGAGGCTGACCGGGAGATATCCAGGAGGTCCAAGTTAAAGAACCCACTTTTAGATGTATTCATCGTACTAGAATGCTTGGTTTACAAAAACCCTTCCTATTCCTATGACTGAACCTAAAGGATGGCACTAGTTGCAGTGACGCGCCATGCCGTACATCTGATGGCCCAGGAGGCAGAGGCAGCGGTGGTGGCAGGAAAGACCCTCGAACAGGTAGATAATGGTGACATGCGGGGCAAGGGACATCCTCCGTTGGTAGCATCACCAGCCAGGCCCCTAGGCTTCGGGTGCGTCTGGTGGGGTTTGAGCGCCGCACCTGTGGTACCCGGAGACACCCCACTCGGGGCGAGGACGCAGGGCGGCGCACGAACAGAGCCGGGCTGGGAGCCCGCAGGCGCGGTCTTTTCATTCACCATTGTTCCCGCAGCGCCTGGCACCCGCTGGGCAGCAGGCAGAGATGGTGTCCTGGAGCACGCAGTCCCTCCGGCGTCGCCCGCCCAGTCGCCCAGCTCTCGGCTCACAGGTGTTTCCAGGGGGCCTTCAGGAGAGCCAGAGGACCTGCGTGCGCCCCCTCCCCGAGTCCCGCTCACGTGAGGGCCCCGCCGGGTCAGGCCCCGCCCCTCCCGGGTCATGCCCCGCCCCCACCTCGCCCCGCCCCCACTCCGCGGTCGGCCGCGCTAGGCTCCGTGGCTCTATGGGGAAAGCGGCCGCTCTGAGCCGAGGCGGTGGCTGCGGCGGCCGGTCCCGCGGGCTCTCGTCGCTGTTCACGGTTGTACCCTGCCTGTCCTGCCACACGGCGACGCCAGGCATGAGCTCTTCCACGCCCGGTTCCGGCCCGGAGCCCAAGCCCCAGCCCCAGCCAGTGCGGCCACCTGAGCGGGAGTTGCTGTCACAACAGGTGTGGAAGCCAGTTTTCGAGCCGCTGCCGAGATCCGAACCCGGGTCGCAAACGAAGTCTGTGCCAAGGACAGGGGCTGGGCAGAGATCGGAACTCCAGGGGTCGCTCCTGGGGTCAGAGGCGGGCCCAAGTGTAGGGGCTACACTCTTCAGCTATGCCATACCTGAGCAGCCGATCCCCTTGGGGTCCATAGTGCCTCTGGTCAAGCCTGAGTCCAGGTCGGTGCCAAAGCCCCCGTCCCTTCCGCGATCGGGACAGGCGAAGACGTCGTCTCCTGGCGGTCTAGCATCAGGGACTGGCACGAGCTCCGCTGAACCGATGGTCTCACTGCCTCTGGATAGCCACAAGGGCTGGCTCCTCAAGTGGACTAACTACCTGAAGGGCTACCAGCGCCGCTGGTTCGTGCTCGGCAATGGCCTGCTGTCCTACTACAGGTATGGAAACGCCGAGGTGGGACATCGAGACTGGAGGGTGGTGATGCTGCCCACATGGCGATGGCGGCGGGCCCCACCGTGGGGGGACACCACAATCTCACCAAGATGTTTGGAAGCATGGACTCGGGTAGAAGTAATACTTGTCCAACTGCCAAGCCTGGATGTAACCTGTGGACATGACCTATATCAAACTTGAGTTTAAGGGGTGAGTGGGGGGCCGTGTGGAGTGAGGGAGTGAACTAAGTCCTCCCTTCCACTCCTGTCAGCCAGAATCAACCCCACAAAACTCTTGCAGGTTCTGGTTCAGGAGCTAAAACCACTGTTAGGGATGGAGAGAGACAGAGCTTTCTGAGGTCAGGACCCACTCTTGAAGCACTGCTGTGCCCTCCTGAGGCAGTTACTCCATTTTCTGCATTTCTTGAAGCCTGCTAGTTGCCAGGCCTTGGGTTTGGGCCTAGCAGACCCACAGATGTATCAAATGCCTAGGTACTCTTCCGGAACCCTTGTTGGTGTGTTGTGGAGAACAGAAAGTATTATGCTGTTACCTTTTTCCGGTCCAGAAGTGGCCTGAATTTGAGGGCCCAGTGGTATAGCTACCCTGTCTTCCACTCTACTGGTTGAAACTGGTTGAAGAGGGGGAAGTTCCCCAAGGCTTCCTGTCCTCTCATTCTAGCTGTTATCTGGGCCCGTTTCCTGAGAGTTTAAGCATCAAGGTCTTAGGCCACTTTAGACAATAGTTCTCAAACCTGAGTGCACTTCCCAGATGGGCTTTGTTGAAACAATAGCTAGGTCTCCCACTGAGTCTCATGCAGTAGGCCAAGGGAGAGGGCCTGAGAGTCAACTCTCCTAAAAAGATCCTGAGTGAGGACAGTGATGGTGGTCCAGGATCACACTCTGAGAAACTCTGCTTCACTGTTGCAAACAGGAATTCCTGCCATGCGGTTTGCTGGAACTTGTGTCCCCATGCTCACTTCACTCTGCCAACAGCATCTTTTCAGGTCACTGCTACAGGGTTTATTCTGACCCTCCCAGCCTTTTTGGAGGCATACTTCACAGGATAGCCAGGTCTCTCATGTGGTTGAGAATTTGTGAGCTCTATGAGTTAAATGGTGACCCTCACTCCCAGGTGGGGAATTACTGGCTGTGTTTACTTCCTGGTGGAGGAGAAAGCCAAGATGTGTCCAAATGTGTACTCACATGGTATCTTGGTGTCCCTTGACTCAGTGGCACCATATATGTGACCCAGAGCAGTTGTCCTTAGAGTTAAGACACTGAGAAAAAGGAAATCCTTTTCCAAATGGTGTTTTTCTCTCTGTTCCCATATACTTTAGATACATAACTATTTTACCCAGACATGCAGTGACAAGGACCTTTAGTGGACCTCTAAATGTTGCTTCTTGCTTGAAGGCAAGGACATAACACATAGGACATGTCAGCTGTGGACCACATACTCCATTTTATGTTCCATCTCTCTAGCCATGGTGTGAGGTAGGTTCCAGTTTTTCCTTACTATAACATCTTGGCTCTCTGAGGCTTTAGAGAGGGACATAATTTTGTCATTTGGTTACCAGCTCAGAGATTCTTGCTCAGGCCTTTTAGACTCAGTCCTCTTCCTCAAGCTCAACTCTGAAAGATCATCTCTTCTAATGACTGGCTACCAAGGAGTGTGGTAGTGTTTTCCATGTCAGTTTCTGAAGTTGAGCAAGCAAGACTCACCTGTCTGTTCCACATTTGTCTTAATGCTTATTCACTCCTAAGCTCAGCTTCTGGTGGCACCTGCATGCTAAATGCTGCAGGTCAAGTAGAGTGCTGGAATGCCTAGACCTCCACAGAATAGGACCTTGCCTCAGGCTGGTTTGTTTATTCTCTTTAGAAGAGCAAAAGTGTCCCATTCTCTTTCCTTCCAATAGCCATGTAGAGACAGTTGGCTTTTGAAGGTAACCTCAAGAGTGCAGATTTTCTGGGTCATTAAGGAAAAGTTCTTACTGCTTGCTGATAAGGTTGTAGAGATAAATACTACTTTGGAGGGAAGAGGAGCAGGGAAGAAGTTTCACGTGTGTGTGTGTGTGTGTGTGTGTGTGTGTGTGTGTGTGTGTGTGTGTGTGTGTATGTGTGTGTGTGCGTGCGTAAATATTGTTAATATTTAACAGTCTAAATAACAGTCTAATTAATATTAAAATATTAATATATTAAATATTAATTAATAACAGTCTAATAACAGTCTAGTTCTGTAGCATCAATTTTGGATGTTTCTAGGTTCCAGGTGTGTATTGGGTGGAATGAATGTGTCCTGACATATACACACCCATGTGCCCTCATTCAGTTCCATGTGATGCCTGCTGGGAAGGGGAAACTAAGGCTGAAAGAATGAACTTTGGCAGCTTACCCAGTGGCACCCTGCTCACAGTGTGTGTCCCGATGGAGGTAAGCCTCTCTCTGCAGAGAATGCCCTTTGGAGGAGGAGAGGACTACCATTCTCTGCTCTCCGAGTTCTGCCGTCTGGAGAACATTTTAGTCTCCTCTGTGTACCTTCTGTATGTTTGATGCTGCTTTCCTATCTGCTAGTTTGTTGTTTCTGTTTTTTAAGACAGTCTTGTTATGTAGCCTAAGCTGGGATTATAGGTCTCTGCCACCATACCTGGCTTCCTGTCCCCACTTCTGAGCTGAATCCCATCTTTTAGTTCAAACATGGCCATCCTGCCAGCTGGCCCCAAGGACTTGCTATCCGTGATCCTGACAGCAGTGAGCGCCTTACACTGTGCTCCCTCTGTGTGCAGTGCTGTGCATGTGTGCTATCCCCTTAGCCCTCCTCACGTGCCTAGCTCTTAGTTTTCCATAGACACAAGATTCTAGTGCTTGTGAGCCAAAACAGAGTGGGGGAAAAAAGACCTTTTTATGTACAAATCTCTTTCCTTAAGGGCTGTGAAGGTCTAGGTCACATGCATGATGTGGCTGAGAAGAAATCAGAGCCCTTTCTCTTGCTAGCTTCCCTTTTGGACAGACCATTCTCAGTCTTAAAAAAAAATCCTAACTGCTGGGTATGATGATGCATGCCTTTAATTCCAGTACTTGGGAGGCAGAGGCAAGCAGATTTCTGTGAGTTCCAGGCTAGCCGGGGCTATATAGTGAGACTGTCTCAAAGAAAGATTTCTAACTAAGACTGGTGGTTGGAGAAAATGTGGGCACCTTTCTTTCTTTTTTAGAATAACAAAATTATTTTGCTAAAACCCAAGGTTTACAGAAGTTTCCAAACAAGTCATACAAAATGGTCATAAGCTTTCTTTTAGTTTGTTTGTTTGAAGTAGGAAAAATATACTGAACAGCAAGTCACATGTTATGAGTGAGGGCTGTGATGTTTGTTTAATGTTCTCACATTAGTTCAAACAATCAACCCTGCCCCTCTATGGCATTTAAATAAAGTTAAATTTGGCTAGAAAGCACTTTTTTTTTTTTTGGCTTTTTGAGACAGGGTCTCCCTGTAGTTCCAGCTGGCCTGGAACTGAATGCAAACCAGATTGGCCTTGAACTCACAGAGACACACCTGCCTTTGCCTCCCAAGTGCTGGGATGAAAGGAGTATATCACCACACCCACCTTAGAGAGTATATTCTAAAGAGCTTGTTAGCTACTTTTCATTAATGCATTAATACAATCAGAACCCCATATAAACAAAAGGGGAGGAGTTCATAAAATCAAAATAAAACTAAGTTCCCCCTAAAAAATATAAAATAAAAACACCCATACCCCTGCAGTGAACCCTGACAAGTACCTTTATTCTTCTTAGTGCTTTGTACGTAAATAATGGTGGAGAAACAAATCAAAGCTGGGGGCCACTGCTTTTCAGTGTTTCACAGCAATCCAGAAGGTGGTCTAGCCTCTGCTCATGCCTTATAATAGGAAATCAGGACAAGTCTCAGTTGCTAATGTTCATTTCATCACCAAAGATGAAGATGCCTGAGCTTGTATTGTATAACGTTGCTAAGACTGTGTCTATTAAATGAAAACAAAAAAGAAAGAAGTCTCGGCAGAACAGAAGTGACACACACTTGATCGACTTAAATATTATTCACGTTGTATAGCCTAGTGCATGCTCTTGCTGCTCCCATGGTTTGGGCTTCTTGGGTTTCCATTGCTCCACTCCATCATTTGCAAATGAATCATCCTGAAAGAGTGCTCAACCAAGCCCAGATGAATAGCAGACCTGTGTAGGTCCACAGGGCTGGGGACCACTTCTCTTTCAAAATACCTAAACTTAGCTACATTCCCAACTTAGCTACATTAATATGATAAACTGTAATCACAACATAGTCTTGAGCTGCTGCTGTTGGGTATTCTTGGAGGAACAGTTCAAGTTTAAAAGTCCCTCCCTCAAGGAGAGAATCTTGGGGATCAGCAGTCACCATGCAAAAATGGTGGGTGCTGCTCTCCTCTGGTTCTGCTTTGGTGCTAGGAACTGGTTCTACCCCAGATGTTGGCTTTCCCTATGGTCCTGTGGGCAGCCTAGCCAGCTTGTCAGATCTGAGTTCAGTCTTTGCTCCTGTCTCAAGCTCCACTCACTTCACACTCCATTCACCACCAATCTCATGTCTCCACCATCCCATCCTGTCTTCTGGCCTCCACCTTCCCAAGCATGATCACCATTTCCTTTCTTTTTTCTTTCTTTCTTTTTTTTTTTTTTTTTCGTCTTTTTTGAGACAGGATCTCCCTGTAGCCCCAGCTGTCCTGGAACTCGCTATGTAGACCAGGCTGGCCTCGAACTCACAGAGATCCGCCTGCCTCTGCCTCCCAAGTGCTGGGATTAAAGGCATGCGCCACCACGCCCAGCCCTTTCTTTAGTTTTCACTTGGCTTTATCCCATCTACATGCATTCTTTAAAAACCTATATTTTAAATCTTTTTTTTTTTACTTTATAAGAAGGGTGCGTGTGTGTATATATATATTAATATATAGGAATTTCTGGATAGTTATTTTTTTTCATTTATTTATCGTGTGTGTGTACAT